TTTTTTTTTTTTTTTTTTTTTAAGGGCCAGGAGCTGGGTTGAGTGGGGCAGCCACGGGGGGAGGGGCTGGGAGCAGGTGGGGGTCAGGGGTCTTGTGGGAGAGCCCCCCACTGTAGCATGGTGCAGTGGTGATAACCACCACTGCCCTGCTTGGCAGCAGCTGGTGAGTGAAGGCTTTTTGGTGATTGCCTAGTTACTAATGGTGTCTTACTGATGCTCTGGCAATAGAGACCTTCCTAAAAATTATGCACACCTTCAACTCGATGTTCTCACTGTCCCTTAGATTAAGGCCAGAAAATAAATATTTTAAACTACTCTGGTCTCCAAAATACAAAGCATGCAATTTTTAATCCATTAAGTCTTGCATAATGGTGTCTTACTGATGCTCTGGCAATAGAGACCTTCCTAAAAATGTGCACACCTTCAACTCAATGTTCTCACTGTCCCTTAGATTAAGGCCAGAAAATAAATATTTTAAACTACTCTGGTCTCCAAAATACAAAGCATGCAATTTTTAATCCATTAAGTGTTGTGTCAAATTCATGTCTTGTTAAGCTGTTGTGTTTCTTTTAGAAAAACTTTTTTAATATCTTGATTTTAAATATTTGCTAAGAATTCCTCTGTCTTCCCCTCTCCTTGAAAAGGTGTTTGTTTCACTGAAAAATGTGCATCTAAGTTGTTTTTGTTTTATTGTCCAAATTTTTGGTAACTGTCATTTTTAGGTATTTAATACTATTTTACCACTTGCCTACTAGGTTGAAGGACTGAGAGGATGATTCCTGTGTGAAAGAACATTTGATTTATCAACTAGGGTGACTTTATACCCTGCTATTAATTTCTACTTTACAAAATAGTCCCTATCACATAAATGTGACCTGTGTTCTTGAGTCCTAGACATTGGATCTTTTATTTGGTTGTATTAATATATATGTTGATCAAAAAAATCCCAGTTTAACAAGCAGTTGCGATGGGACTGGCTGGTCTTTCTATGATCTCCATTCAGTGTAAGCTGTCCCCTAAGCCAATTTACCAACAAGGATTGAGTGATTTGTTTCCAGTATACTGATACATACAGGATAGCCTGGAGCAAAGGACAGGTCCCTGTGGGACTCCAATATAAATGATTAATAGGATGTAAAAGGTTAAAAAGTTAATCATTTAACCAATACATGCAGTGATAACTGGTTATCTTTTAGCTGGGGGCTGGCGGAGTCTGGAAGGGAAGCCCCCAGGTGCCCCAGCAGGGCAGGCAGGTGGGAGGGAGAAGAGAGGAGAGGAGAGGAGAAGGGAAGAGGGAAGCCACTAGGGAGTGAGGGGAACTAGTACTCCTAGCCTAAGAGAGAACCAGCCAGCAGCCTAATGATTCATCAATTAAGCAGTTAGCTGCTCATTCACAGGTGCGCCTTCCTTCCTCCCCGGCCAGCACAGAGCTTCAGGTGGGCTGTGTTGTCTGGCTGGGCTTGCCCCTGCAACTCATTCAAAGAACCCCTGGAGTGGCTCCCTGCAACAGCTGTGTCCAAGCTGTTGTATTCTCAATTGACCTATAGGAGGTTAAACACATCTTTTTTTTTTTTTTTAAATATTTACATTCCTAACACTTAGGTGAAGACAACTTGTCTTTTGAGAGTTATGCTAGCTATACTAAATGTGCTACATTGAGGAATAACATAATATAATGCTCACTTTTTAATTGGAGTATCAAGTCAAATGTCTTGTGGAACTTAAGTGTGTAGTATATTACACACTTAATGTAATTTTTTTTTTTTGTGATTTCTTAGTTGGTCTAATAAAAGGTGTCATATTTGAGCCAAGAGTTCTAGAGTTTTGCGTAGTATTACCACCAAACCTGTCTTGGACCATATGCAGTTTGTTTCTTTGGAAAGACGTAGCTTCCATAAAACTATTCAGTTGTATTGGCTATGCTGCTGTCCTTCAGTTTTAATGTATTGTATTCCATGTCAGTAAAGGCCACACAAGGAGCATTCATATCAAGGTCCCTCTCAGGTTCTATGATTCTGCAAATCCTCTTGAATGCTTGTTTCCACCACCAGCACAGATGCTGTGTCAAGCGAGTCATTGTCAGGTAAAAAAGTGTTCATCAGGGCTGGCAGTGACAATAATATCTGTAAATGTTAAAAGGATCTCAGCCTTTAAACAAGAAATCACCAAACTACTAATTTCAAGTGCCAAGTCTACAGGAGACAGCAAAGTATAAACAGCAACAATGCTCAGATCATGAACAATGTAGCAGTGTAATATTAGCGAATCCTTTCCTTGTCACCACATCAGTCATCTGTGACGTATCTAAACCTGGGCCCTAGGATGCTGCTAACTCTGAAAGAATTTAGTGTTTGAAAAATAGTGGTGGAAGGATGTGAGAAAATCCTGTGTTATGATTTTGGCCAAGAGCCAATGGCAAGTTAAGTAGCCTGATGTTACTACAGGGGTGGGCAACTATTTTAGGCAGAGGGCCACTTACTGAGTTTTGGCAAGCCATTGAGGGCTGCGTGATAGGCAGCCAGGGACAGATGAATATTAATTTTCTAACATTTTTTTAGGGGCACTGCAGGCTGGATAGAATGGCCTGACGGGCCGCATTTTGCCCACCCCTGTGTTACTGCAATCACTCTATTTAAACCTTTTTAAACCTCAGAATTTCAGCTTTTTTCCAGCGTTCTGGAATTTCCAAAATACCTTAAGATTCTGGTAAACATTAGCTACAAAAGCACAGAGAGCCCCTCAGGTTGAATCAATTCTAGGAAACAAGTTGTCAGTTCCTGTAGATTTTTAAAATGTTTAATTTGGTAAAAAGTTAGAGACCTACTAAATTTAGAATTTAATGTGTTTAATTATCACTGTTATCTCTGTTTTTTTCCAAATACAGAACTGAGATCATGATGATTCTCCTTTTTCTGCATTGTTATTGACATGTAAAAATGTCTGCTGCTAGCCTTTCAAATTTATTCTGAATAAGATAAATCATACCTTCTTATTCTTAATTCTTTTTACAATTTTTTTAATTGAGGTTTTTCACTGGAGCTTCCCTTAACAACTGAATGTATTCCAAAATGGGCCACTTGTAGTCACTGCTGTCGATTTCCTCCTTTTTACATTTGTGTTCATAAAAATAATTAATAAAAAAGTTGCCATCACTGCTTTTACTTTCCTTGTTGACCAGGGTGTGTGTGTGTAACTGAATAAGCCTTGTTCTGTGAATGGAATAATGGGGAGGAGGTGGGGGGGAAGAGCATCTGCAGCTAAAGCATGCTCAAACAACTCCCAATTATTACTCATTTTGCTTTCTAATCACTTTTCCTCACAGCTTTGTTGCCAATAGATAATTCCCTACAGCTGAAAACT